TAATTGAGACTGCAGTACTTTTCTAGAATATAGTTGAGGGAAAATTATGTAAATATGGACTGACTGGATGGACGGATTTCCTATTGTTTATTGTTGTAGCAACCCATACTGCTGTGTTCGTTCCGACTCCTCTCAATCGTGTTCCGCTTCTAAGTCCAATCTCAAAAAGGATGCAACCTGTACGTGTTGGGTTCACAATGATACTGGATTTAGGTGAGTAGGTTGGGCAGGGTAGCAAAATAGGTGCAGCGTGTCATGTTGATCTGTGCCACAAGCTGGGCAGATGTTCTGCACATCGCTGTCCATCCGAGCCCAATAGGAATTAAGCCTGCTGCACCATCCGGATCTTAATTGAGACAAAACTCCTTGGGTTTGTCAGGGCAGCTCTGGCTCTTCAGCTGCGATGAGAGGGAGATGGTCCCCTAGTACAGTATTTACTCAATATCCTTTTATGACTTTTGTAACCGTGTATGGGTTGGTATAGATGCTATTTTATTTAATCGTTTAACCTTCCTATTTTGAAGGTTCTCATTACTCTCACGTCTCGGTCCGATATGGAATAAATGTATGAGATCATCCGAAGAAACTGGTGTAGATGGTTTTCGGGTACCATAATGAGGTATTAAAAATTCGCAAGTGAGGCCTTATGATAGGTCAACAGGGTATCTTTGTCTGAAGCCAACGTGCTATTCGCTAGCGTCTTTGTTCCTACTAGAATTTAGTGTTTAGACTTTTTGGTTACCATTCAGCCGCTCTGTCGTATCAGCACATGCTGCTGGATCCTTGGTTGGAGAAAATTGTGTGTTCAAAGCATAAAAAATCACGACAAAAACCGTATTTTTGATTTTATTTGTTGATATTTAGATCTGAAGAACTATTTAACTTTTCCTTTATTCAAAGGCTGTGGGTGTTCTTATTCATCGGCGGTCGTCGTGATGATTTATCAGAAAAATTTTCAGCTACTATCAACTCGAACATTGCTTTTTGGGTAGAACATTGAAGGGAATTAAGTTTAGGCCTTTAAGTTTTCCATTGGTTATAACGCGTGTGACGTTATGGGTAGATTGTCAGATTCTATTAAATTCCGGTATGAATTGAACAGACCAAGTGACACGATGTTTACGTCTGAAAAGAAGTGGCATCATACCTTATTCGGTTGGATTGTGTCACAATTTCTCAGCTAGTGTTTTAACAAAACTGATAGTTCTCGTATAGGACGCCAGAACTCGTGTGGGGTATTGACAGTTTCTAGATTTATTGCCTTCTAAAAAAGCTATTTCTTTAGTAGAAATAACTCTGTAAGCCTTTCCAAATATGAAAAACATTAAGATAGGTTAACGAGTTTTTCTAAGGTATAGAATTGTCACATATACAATAGGTTAAAATGATTATTAATTAATAGATTAAATTAATATAGTGTTAAATCTATTTTTTGGACTACCATAGTTATTAAAAAATAATAGTTAAATTACTTAAAATTACAACAAAATTTATTTATTAATTAATTGTACTTATATTATTAAGATTGAGCATTTACATATTTATCTTACAACTATATACAGTACTTTATTCTCAAACCAATGTTTTATTCGTATCAACCCCATCTGGACGTGGTCGTATAAGCATATTGTGTTTATATTCCACCGGATGATGACGTCTACAATGAGTGGCGCGATTCGATTTCGATTTAAATGTAGACTCACAATAGTCACATTTATACAAATCAATGCCCGTATGCGTTGCTATGTGTTCCTAAAAGACAAGAAAGCAAAAATTAGTTTAAAAATAATGCAAAAACATCTAAATTCTCATACTTTCAATAGAGTGGGTGTCTTAAAGGCCTTATCACACATCGAACATTTGTGTCTCTTAATGGGATTATGACGAAATTGAATGTGTTTCCGTTTAGCCTCTCGTGTCGATGAGACAAACCCACAAATTTCACAACGATGTTCGACATCGATCAGCACATGCATATTTAACATATGACGTTGCAGCGAAGCCCGTGTGGAATATAGATTACCACAATAGTTACATTGAACGGGATCTCGTGGCTGGTGCATTTTTCGTTTATGTCGCTGCAGGGCATTCGGTGTTCGTTGAATGAGTCCACATTCACTGCAATTGTATACTTGAGCTTTAGAATGTTTTGCCTTGAGATGATTATTCAAATACTTGTCGCAAGGATATCTGCAAAAAAAGAAGGGGGAAAGGAAACAGACAGTATAATATATATACATTTTCTATATACAAGGTGGGATAAAAAAACTGCAACAAAGTCAAACGCCATAATTTTAACATTTTTTTTTTTAATTTTATTGAATGAAAGCAAAAAATGTCAGAAATAGCATCAAATTTTAGAATAAGTTTCGATTTGTTCGAATTGGTCACCTTTGGCATGGCCAATGGCCTTCAAACGGCCAATGAAACCGTCACACGCTGTCTGAATGTTGCTCTGCGGTATTTTGGCCCATTCCCGGCGAAGCGCATGCTTGCGGTGATCGACACTTTGGTATTTTTTAGTGCCAACTTTGCTTTCCAAAATACTCCACACACAAAAGTCCAACGAATTGGTATCTGAAGATTTTGGTTGCCATTGTGTGCTGGAAATGAAGCGAGGAACCTCATTTTGTAACCATTCGTTGTGAGTCCTGTTGGAATGTCCAAAGTGCGTGTCTAAGGCTTTAATACACCCTCCAGAATATTTTCGCTATAATATTCGGCTTTTATTCAGATGCCACGGTCGATTAATACGAGCGGAGAGCGACCATTGGCCGCCCACACCATCACCATGGCGGCGCTTGAGTTGTGGTGGCCAACCGAAGGTGCACATTTTCTGCTGACCTCCTTGGCAAGTAAACATAATCATTTTGTTTTTTACAAACTGCTGAATAACGAATATTTTCTTATCGGAGAAAACCAAATTCAGCCAAATTCACCACTTTCGGCCAAGCTAAGCAACTCTTTAGATCTTTTGAGTCTATTTTCTTTCTGTTGCGGTGTAAGTTCTGGTACTTTTTGGAATTTCAATTGTTTATTTTTCAATATTTGCTGAATGGAATATTACAGTATCACGGTAACAAGTGATGGTACGAGACACAAAAGATTTATTCACATTTAAATGCTGGAGTGCTCTAACGATAGCCACTTGTGGTTTTCCAGCCAAATATAAAGAAATCACACTATCACTCATGAATTCTATCACGAATAACTTTTTTTCTGGAAAATTCTTACCAAAATGCTTTTGTACGCTTGCAAAAAATATACTGAGCTGTCACTGGAATAATTTTAACAGCTTTCGGACGAGTGGCTTAGAAATGGCAGCAGTTTTTTCATCTCACCCTGTATATACAATAATTATGTGTGGTACAAATACACACAGGACCTAAAATCGTTATTTCAAATGATTAACCCCCTGTCTGTAGCTATGTAGCTGCAGAAGGTATTACAAGAAAAGGAACAAAACTTTGCTATTCCCAAGGTGGCAGTTCCCGCCTCAGAACTTCCATGAAATGAAATTTGTCGTTCCATAAACTCACTTTTGTAAAAACGTATATATGCATCTATACCCACGTTTCATTCTAATATGTATATAAATTTTCCCTAGTAATATGGTTAGTTCCAGAACTGCAAGAATATAAACATTTTTTACTAGGATAATCGATTTGCCCTTTATAATATCGAAAAAATTGTAAAAATGGTAGAATCTTGCAGGTTCCGAACAGAGCAATATTTAGCGTAAACCCAACGTGTTAAATTAGCTGACTTTTTAACCATTAGATCTCAATGCGTGTAAAACTATATAAAATGTTTAATTTCCAACAAGTACTTATATTGATATGTATTTCTTCTACTGTATAAACTACGATCACTTATTTATATTCCAACTTTTTGTTGGATACTTAAATACGTTTTTAATAAAGAATATTAAAAAAACGATACAAATCTTTCTTTTTAGATTGATTCATAATTTGGTATGGCTGTGGGACGAGCTCTCCTTATCATATTGGCATTATATTCGACTGGATGACGGCGACGATAATGGGTGGAACGATTTGATTTCGATTTGAAAGAGGCATCACAATAGGCACAGTTATATAAATCAATGCCCGTATGAATTGCGGTGTGTTCCTGCAAAAACAAATTGCACATTAGAAAAAATATTCCAAATTGTATGGGACTTGCAGCATACCTTCAATAGAGTTGGTGTCTTGAAAGCCTTTTCACACATCGTACATTTGTGGCGTTTCTCCGGATTGTGCTTGAATTGTTTGTGTCGCCTCTTGGCCGTACGTGAACTGGATACAAAACCACAAATTTCACAACGATGTTCTTGATCCGCACGTACATGCATATTTAAGACGTGGCTCTTGAGGGTCCATCGTGTGGAATACCATTTGCCACAATAGGTACACTGTTCCGGAACTTTGGGCGCATGTACCCGTTGCTGATGTATCAACAGGGCGTGTAGTGTGTGCGAGACCTTTCCACAGGTATCACAAACAAATTCTTTGGGTGGATTGTGATGTTTCACATGTCGTATCAAATACATTTCACAGGGAAATCTGAAAATGGAAATAAAGCAAAAGAAAATCATGTCAATTAACTTAAGCATTTATATACCTACACTGTATCGAGAGTTGGAGTTGGTTTTGTTTTTATTTTTATTTATTTATTTATTTATTTTTTTTTTTTTTTTGAGGGTATCTTGAGCTTGGATATAATTTTTGGAGCTGCTTTATATTTAAATAACACATTTTTTAATATATTTTCACTTATATTAAAAAAAATTTACCCTTCATTCCTCCAGACTAATAACATAGATTATTTTTGGTCTGTTCCAGAACAGAAAGACTGTACTACAATAACCGATTTTCCCTTGATAATATTGAAAAAAAAATTACAAAACTAGTAGATTCTTGCAGGTACTGGAATCTGTTGCCATGTATAAGCCATTAAAAGAACCCTCTTGACCTAAACTGTCAAATCAAACTCCAATGTTTCTTTTACAAGCCATCGAAGAAGAAAAGCCTTTATTAATAGAATATTTCATTTCTGCTACTTAGTTCCTATTGTGCTTCTAAATTAACTGGAGGATTTTGTATATAATTATTGATGCTACTGGGACAGGGGCGTCTTCTCATATTGGCCATATATTCTGCCGGATGATGGCGTTTATAGTGTGTGGAACGATTCGATTTCGATTTGAATGAGGCATCACAATAGGCACAGTTGTATAAATCGACACCGGTGTGAGTGGCTATGTGTTCCTAGAAGACAAACAATTTGAAATGCTTAAAATTTAGAACTATAACTCAAATCATGCAACTCACCTTCAGTAGAGTGGGCGTCTTAAAGGCCTTGTCACACATTGTACACTTGTGCTTCTTTTCCGGATTATGTTTGAATTCGATGTGTCGCTTCTTGGCCGTTTTCGAAGACGACACGAAGCCACAGATTTCACAACGATGTTCTTCATCGGCATGCACGTGCATATTCAATAAATGGCGACGCATTGTCGCCCGACTAGAATACCATTGACCGCAGTAGGTACATTGCTCGGACACCTTGTCATGCACTCGCCGCATATGATGTTTGAGGGCATCGAGGGAGTGTATCACTTTGCCACAGGATTCACAAATAACTTGTTTGGTCGGATAGTGACGTTCTAAATGTCGTGTCAAATACATTTCACACGGGAATCTGAAATTGTACAAAGGATCAGGTTAGACATACATATTAATTTTGGGAAAAAGGAGTTGCAAGCAAACCTGAGCGGAATTTTGGAAACATATACATTTTTCTTTTAAATGGAATAACAAAACGAAAATATTTTATGGATATCGAAAGGAAGTGAATGCGAGAGGAGACCACACGTTCTCTGTTTTCCAAATTTTATATTTTTTAAATATTTTTTTTTTTTTTTTGTAAATGAAAAAGACAAATTTGAAGACATGATGGAATTTGCGATATTCTTTCTCATCAATTTTCTTTCAACATAAATGAACAGGTCGTTAATGTGGAGTTTTGAGAGAACTTGTAAGGACATGTTTTGCAAATTCTATCTGTCATGGCCTCTTTAAATTTTGGTATTTTCAGGTCATCATGAGTTTTAGCTCCTATGGCGGAGCATAGTATGTATAGGTCCACGTTTTCGTATAGCCCCACAGAATGGTATCTCCGCATATTCAGTATTTTGATGATTTTTGACACATTTTCCCACGGACTTGTATTTTTAGTTCAAAGTGGCTAATAGTTCCGGTGGCAGATAATCCTAGTCACATTTACCCACGAAATTGTTTCAAATTTGATATTTAAGAATATTTTGTAGATGATTAAAGTATAAAATGTTGCCTATATAGGTTCCCGTTTTGGTATGGGCACATATAAAGACCTCACTCACTTTATGGTTTCATCAAAAGCTTAACAGCATTATCCAAGCGGTCTTACTGGTATTTGTAGTTTAAAGTAAAACACGATAGAATTCAGAAATTTTTTATAAAACAATGTGTTCTTTACTCAATGTTGGAGGGTATTAAAGTTCGGTCCGGCCAAACTTGCTGTTTTTATACCATCAGCCATATGGCTAGAGGGTACATATCAAGCGAGCATCATCGAAATAACGGTCAAAAACGAGCATAATCGAAATAACGGTTTTAGACCCTAGGTCTTTTTGGACCAAATCCGTCTCAGGATTTTTGGAGTTGATCTAGCAATGTCCATCCCTCCCTCTCTCGTAATATTTTTGTCAAACTTAGATCCAGTTCGGAGATGTGCAATACCGGTTCACTGCTTCTGGAACCTCTCACACAAAATGTCAGCATTTTCAATTAAAATTATTTACTGTACAGAAATAGAAAGGATAATTTTGGTCCAACCTTCCGTATCCTAATATTTCCATCAGTCCTAGGTCAGGTGCGAAAATGGACAATATCGGTTCACTCCATTTTGAAAATTTTGAATAATTATAAATCTTATAAAATGTGATGTATGTGTCCAATTGTCTTCGAAAGGTCTGCTGTGAAGATGGAATACATCGGCCTGCTCCTTCTGGTACCTCCCCCACAAAGCGTCAACATTTTGAATATTCATGAAGCTCACACAACACTAAATTAACATCCGATTCCATTCAGACTTGGTACATCTCAATATTTCTATCAAGACAAGATCTGTTATAAAGATGGTAGATATCGGACCATTCCTTCTGCTACCTCACCCACAAGGTGCCAACATTTTACATAACAAAAACTATCATAAAATTCAAAATAAGTATTCAGTTCTTTTCATATTACACAATCCACATTATTTCTACTAACCCTAGATCTGCAGTGAAGATGGAATACATCGGTCCACTCCTTCTGGTACCTCCTTCTGGTACAAAAGGTTCAAAGTTTTGAGCATCCATGAAGCTCATAAAACGCGAAATTAACATCCAATTTCATTCAGGCTTGGTACATCTCAATATTTCTATCAACACAAGATCTGTTATAAAGATGGTACAGATCGGACTATTTCTTCCAGCACTTTCTCCACATAGGGTTCAAGATTAAAAAAAAAACAAATCGCTCAAAGAAAGCACAATAAGCATTCAACTCTCTTCAAATTTTACACATCCAAATATTTTTGCTAACGCAAGATCTGTTGTTAAGATGTTATACAGCGTGAGATGAAAAAACTGCAACCAATTTCAGACTGCTGTCATTTCTAAGCCACTCGTACGACAGCTGTTAAAATTTTTCCAGTGACTGCTCATTATATTAGGTGTGTCTGGTTACCCTAAAATTTGTAACAATTGTTACAAATTGTTACTGGAAGTCGTCTGTTAACCCGAAAGTTCTGCAAAAGAGAGCGGTTGGAGAGAGAAATTTTGACAGTTCTTTCAGTGAGAGTTTGCAAATTCTTGCTGGAAAAATTTCTTTTTGCAATCTCTTGCAACTCTTCTTCTTCTCATTCATCGACATTCAATCAGATGTTTTCTATTGTTTATTTATTTCTTTTTGTGATTTTAATTTGAAAATATTGTTTTGGAATTAGCAAGACTAATTGTTTTTGGAGAACAACTTTACAAAATGTGAAAAACGTAAATGTTAATATGTAATAAGAAAATAAAAGACTATTTCCAACATTTTTATTTAAAAAACTTGTAAAATTAGTATTGCTTCCTTTGTTTTAATTCTCCTTATGGGGGACAAATTGGTTTGTTTTGACAAATCAGCTGATTAGTTGCAAGCTTCTGCAGGAATAGCGTCTGTTTACATTTCGCATTTTCCTTGCAAAAGAGAATAAAACTACCTTACTCTCTCAGAAAGAAGTTGCTGGACAATTCCTGCTGGAAAAGTAACCAGACACACCTATTGTTTACAAGCGTACAAAAGTATTTTGGTGAGAATTTTGTAGAAAAGGAGTCGTTCGTGATGGAATTCAAGCGTGATGGTGTGATTTCTTTATATTTGGCTGGAAAGCTACAAGTGGCTATCCTTAAAGCACTCCAGCATTTAAATGTGAATAAATCTTTTGTGTCTCGTACCATCGCTCGTTACCGTGATTGTGATACTGGTAGCGTAGCCCGACGCCAAGGAAGTGGACGGAAGAAAACAGCAACATCAGCAGAAATGGTACGAAAAGTATAGAAGCGACTTGATCGAAACCCGCATCCCACTGACCGAAAAATGGTACGTGAACATATCGCAATATTTCATTCGGCAAATATTGAAAAAAGAGCACGGTGTAAAGCCGTTGAAATTCCAAAAAGTTCAAGAACTTACACCACAACAGAAAGAAAATAGACTCAAAAGAGCTAAAGAGTTGCTTTGCTTGGCTGAAAGTGGTAAACTGCCGAATTTGGTTTTCTCCGATGAGAAAACACCCGTTTTCCAGCAGTTTCTAAACAAACAAAATAAAATGTGTTTACTTGCCAAAGAGGTCAGCTGAAAATGTGCACCTTCGGTTGGCCATCAGAACTCAAGCGCCGGCCATGGTGATGGTGTGGACCGCCATAACAGTTAATGGTCGCTCTCCGATCGTATTAATCGACCGTGGCATCAAATAAATGCCAAGAATGGTTACAAAATGAGGTTCCTCGCTTCATTTCCAGGGCACAATGGACACCAAAATCTCCGGATACCAATCCGTTGGAATATTGTGTCCGAAGTATTTTGAAAAGCAAGCGCTTCGTCAGGAATGGGCCAAAATACTGCAGACCAACATTCTGGTAGCGTGTGACGCTTTCATTTGCCGTTTGAAGACCATAATTCGTGCCAACGGTGACCAATTCGAACAAATCTAAACTTATCCTAAAATTTGATGATATCCGACATTTTTTACTTTCGTTCAATAAAATTAAAAAAAAATGTAAAAATGTTGCAGGGTTTTGTATCTCACCCTGAAGATATACAACAGAAATAACAACAATCAATCGTATGGGTCTCTTAAAACTAGGCAATTTCAATAATATTTAGTCCGAATCCTCAATGAATACGGAACACATGACTTATACATAGTTCTCGGCCTGAACGATAACAGTTTGACCAGTTTCTACAATTTATCAATTCAATTAGTTCACTTTAATGTTTTTTTTTTATTGTTATCAAATTATCGATTTAATTAATTCATTTTATTTTGAAACACAAAACATAGTAAATATTCTGTTTATAGTTCTTCAAAATCATCACCATCTTCCATGATTTCATATTCATAAATAACAGTCACATCATCGCCATCCTCCTCATCTAGTTGATTTATTTCCTCAATTATTTCAATCTCCAAAGGTTTGCTTGGCACGGAACGTGGTTTTACGGAACGGCTATACTCCTCAGGATGGTGGCGTTTACAATGGGTTATACGATTCGATTTCGATTTGAAGGTAGCCGGACAAAAGGCACAGCTGTACAGATCCACACCGGTATGGGTGGCTATATGTTCCTGGAAATTGAATTAATAAACTATTCAAAAGACTGTATTTATTTAATTCCAATTCTTCACTTCACTTACCCTCAACAGGGTCGGAGCCTTAAATGCCTTATCGCACAGACCACACTTATGCTTCTTCTCGGTTCTATGCTTGAAACGAATGTGTCGCTTCTTAGCCTCACGTGTCGTCGACACAAAACCGCATATCTCGCAACGATGCTCTTTATCGATGTGTATGTGCATGTTGAGAACATGCAGTTGGAGATTGCTATGCGTGGAATACCATTTGCCACAATAGGTGCATTGTTCGGGAATTTTGATGGGTTTGCTTGTGTGCACAACTTTTTTGTGTTTATGCAGGCTGTTCAGGGTACGCAACACTTTGCCACACATATCACAGATGACCTGTTTGGAGGGATTGTGATATTCAAGATGTCGGGTCAAACGTTTTTTACTGGGATATCTGAAATAAAAATTAAAGTATGAAAAAAACATAAAAATGACCACGTCAAGATGTGTTATACCCGAAATATGGAAAAGGATAGTCCAGGATGATCGATGAATTTCAATGCTACATACATACATACATTTGTTAAATCTAGTAATTTGTAACATACACTACGAACTAAATCGATGTACACGCATATGATTTGTTCCAGAACTGCAAGAATTTAAACACGTTTACTACTTTTTCATGATATCGGAAAAAAATTGCAAAAATATTAGTTTCTTGCAGGTTCTGGAGCAGAGCAATAATAAATCCAGTGGATTTTATGTGTCAAATTCAATCCGCTGTATTAACGATTTGACGCATGCGCAATGGAATTGACAGTCTAAATCCACTTGACTTATTATATACAAACAAGATTTCAATGGGAAATATTTTTGGGGGATTTTCAACGAATTCTATTTCAAAATTTGATCATT